GTTTTTTATTTTCTGAATCCTGAATGAAAAAAAGCTAATGTTGGATTAAAAAATAAACTTCCACATCCCAGATCTGTGCCTGTTTTTTATTTTCTAAGAAACTGGGAGCTGTCTGAAATAAATCTAAGGCAGGCAAATAGTTTAACAAACATGGGGGTCTACTATAGAAAAAAAGGAACACTTTAATAAACCGGAAATGTATTACTTTTTCAATTTGTGACAGTGTTAGAAAGGTGATAATTCTACCTTAAGGTTATTATTGATCTGGTAGCAGCAAAGTCTGTCAACTCTATGAAAATAAGTGATGAGCTAGTAATACTGCTAAAGACTCAAAAAGTATACTGTGTGTGCAGTCTTATCTGTTTTACTGAAACATGGTTGAATCAAAGCATCTCAAACTCTAATGTCTGGACAAACAGATAAACACAGTGGTGAGAAAAAGCTTTTTTCAGCTGAGGCAGCTCTCTAAAGTAAAACATTTTATTTCTTTTTATGACTTGAAGAGAGTTTTACATGCATTTATGACCACTCGCCTTGATTTTTGTAATGGACTTTTGGACTTTTGGTATTGATCAGGCTTCACTATCACGCTTGCAAATGGTCCAGAATGCTGCTGCTCGCTTGTTGACAGGGACACGCAAACGTGAGAACATTACCCCTGTTCTTGCCTCTTTACACTGGTTGCCTGTCCATTTTAGAATTCATTTTAAAACTTACTTTTTTTGCTTTTAAAGTTTTAACTGGCCTGGCTCCTTCTTACCTGTCAGACCTTCTACAATGATACACTCCACAAAGGTCTCTCAGGTCAACTGACCAGTCACTCCTTGCTGTCCCCATATTGAGACTGAAACACCGGGGGGACCGAGCTTTCGCTGTTGTGGCCTCCAAATTATGGAATAAATTTCTCCCTCCACCTCCCCTCCAATTTTATTAATTGTATATCTTATTGTCTTTTTATGATGTGTTTATATTTATTCATTGTATATTATTGTCTATTTTACTCTTGTTTTAATATTTAATATATATACTGATTTATTTTTATCTTCTTTTTCATTTATGTATTTATTTTATTGTTATTTATATTTATTTCTTTGTCTGCTTAATGTATGGTTTTTAACTGCTATCTCTGTTTTATTATTGGAAAGCACTTTGGTCAACTTTGTTGTTTTTAAAGTGCTATATAAATAAAGTTGGATTGGATTGGATAATGTGTATATACCTGGTTCCACTCTGATACAATCTGACACAGAAGCTAAAGCTAGTGGCAAGAGCCACAATTGTCCCACTGCCAAAGCGTACTAACATTAGCAGCCTCAACGACTACCGACCAGTTGCTCTAACACCTGTTATAATGAAGTGCTTCGAGAAACTGGTCCGACGTCACATCATGTCCTGCTTGCCACCCACACTCGACCCGCTCCAGTTTGCATACAGAGCTAACAGATCAACTGAAGATGCCATTGCTACAACGCTCCACACCACCATCTCTCACCTGGAAGTGCAGGGCCGTTACGCCAGGCTGCTCTTTGTTGACTTTAGCTCTGCTTTCAATACGATACTCCCGGACAGACTAATAGTTAAACTGCTGGAAATTGGACTTCCTTCCACCACCTGCCGCTGGATCAGAGACTTCCTCTCAGACCGTGTACAGAGAGTTAGAGTGGGGCCTCATCTTTCCTCAGCCCTCAGCCTCAACACCGGCTCTCCACAAGGCTGTGTACTGAGTCCCCTACTGTACACTCTGTACACACATGACTGTGTTAGTTCCCACCCAGACAACACAGTCATCAAGTTTGCAGATGATACCACCGTGGTGGGGCTCATCTCAGGGGGAGATGAGACTGCGTACAGAGCTGAAGTTCAGAGGCTGTCAGATTGGTGTGCAGATAACAACCTGGACCTCAATACCACCAAAACAAAAGAACTGGTAGTTGACTTCAGAAGGAGGAAGTCCGAGCTGCAGCCTGTCAGCATCAACGGGGAGTGCGTGGAAAGGGTCTCCAGTTTCAAGTTTCTGGGTGTGCACATAGACACAGACCTCCAATGGAGCTCTAACACCTCTGCGGTCTTAAAGAAGGCCCAACAGCGTCTCCACTTTCTGAGAATCCTCAGAAAAATGGACCTGAAGAAGGAGCTGCTGACCGTCTTCTACCGCTGCTCCATTGAAAGTGTGCTGACATATTGCATCGGTGTGTGGTTCTCCAGCTGCACCACAGCACACAGAAAGGCACTCCAGAGGGTCATCAACATGGCCCAAAAAATCATTGGACATCCTCTTCCCTCCCTGAAGGACCTGTACAGCACTCGCTGTCTCAAGAGGGCACGCAGCATCCTACGGGACGGTACACACCCAGGACACTGGGTGTTTAAGCTGCTGCCGTCTGGCAGGAGGTTCAGGCTGCTGAGGTCCCGAACAAATAGACTCAAGGACAGCTTTTACAACAGGGCAATAGCCCTGATCAATGCAAATAGCTGACCTGACTGGATACCTCCCTGGACTTTTTTAGGGGGGAGGTAACAATGTTTAAAATTATAACAATAATAATATTTATATTTATAACAAGGTGCAATAATAATTAATGTGCAATAATAACAGTATGCAATACACACACACACTTATTGTTCTTTTTTTATACTAAGTTAATATACTGTGTTGTGTTGTTTGTGTTCCGTTGTGATGTGTCATATCGTGTCGTGTTGTGTTATATGTAGTGCCGACGTAGGACAGTTTTCCAATTTCATTGTACTACTGTACTATGTATGACTGTGCAATGACAATAAAGAGTTATCTTATCTTATCTTATCTCAAAAGGTGGGGGTCTGGATTTATATGTGAACAAAAGATGGTGTAACCCTGTCAAAGAGAAGATGTGTTGTCCTGATATTACTTTTTTGAAAGATAATTTTACTTTTTATATCTGTTTTATGTCTATCTTTTTGAAATTTAGGTGAAATTTAAATTTGTGCACCTTCAACTCGACAGCAGGAAGGATGATGTTGAAGAGGATAAAAAACATATATATGTTTTTATATAAAACATATAAAAACAGGTAAGAATTTAATTTATATGGGCAGAGCCACTGACGTTCTTGATATAGTACAGTTATTTAAAAATAAGTTATGAAGACAGAAAACTGTAGTACTAACATGCAGAAGTTAGTGTAGGTGGTGCAGCTTCTCATATTATCGTGCCCAAATTAAAATAACGATAGTAGTGGTGTAGAGTATATCAAAGGCCATTAAGCTATGGACTTTAAACACTGTTTAGAAAAAAAAACAGATAAGATAACACTGAATGAATGACTCACTGCCACGACTGAAGTCTTCCATCTCATTGTCTTTGTCCATGACGTCCTCATAATCTCCACTTTCAAACTCCATGTCTTTCCCTGGCAGCATTCTTGCTGAAAGGTTACAGTGTTATAAATTTACTCATACAGCAACAGCTGTCTCACCAATGCACTGTGCTAATGTACCAGTGAAGTAACTGTACAAGGAGCACAGGAGCATGAAAAGCACAACACAAGCACAGGCGTTCTTAATTTTCCCTGTTCTGTATTTACATTTGGTCGAGTTTGGTGGAGCTGATGTGCTCCTTGTTCAATCAGCAGCAGTGATGGCATTATTTAAGTCAGAATTCAGTCAGTATGCTGAAAGACTGCCCTCTAAAAGTTTCCAACACCTTTTTCCTTTAAGCATGATTGATCTGGATTGATCTCATGGTCAGTCAGGATTTTTATGCCTTTTAAGGTAATTCATTAGAGCAAAAACAAAAAAACATGTGTGTAAGTCATGTAATAAATATACTCACCTAAAGCTCTGGACTCCCTGACTCTCCTGACATACATTCGTATAAATGAAGAAATCAAGATCACTACAACAAGAAGAAATATCCCACCCACGATAATAGGTCCTGTGGGTATAGGCGGACGTGTAGGGGTTGGTGGTGTGGGAGTCACTGGTACATAGCCTGAAATCAAACACAGCCAGTTTATTTATTCTGGATTCAGTCACAGTGAGAGCTGTACTTGACTCATCTTGTTTATCTGCACCACCTCAAGGTAAGTAAGCTCAGAGTTACCCATTTTAAAAAATCTCTTCTCTGTAAAACATGTTGAATGAATATTTTTGAAAACAATAGAACTTATTGAGAAAGGATTTGTGGTTTGTCTTACAAAGTATTTCAGCTGGAGAAACGTTTCCGCAGGAACGTTGTTTGACAGAGCGCTTGATGTCCATGTTAACATCAGTGAACTCCAGTGTTGTTTCTAAGTCTGACCTTGAATCAAATTTAAACTTTTTCACATTTAGAGATACAGCCAGAATAGAAAACACTGAAATATCTCTGGCAGTAAAAAACAGGCCTGACTGAAGCATCAAAGCAACACACAGCAAAAGAAGTCACTAAAGTGACCAAAAGTATTGGGACATTCAATTTATTTTATATTTCTGCAAATTACGTGTCAGCAAAGTGTCCAGTAAGTTTTTAACTTAAAAATCTTTGAGCATTTTGTATTTAGTCAGCTAAACCTCCCATACATTTCTTTCCATTTCATAAACCTAAATAATATAAAAATCACATTCCAGTCTTCATTATTAGATTTAAATAAGCTGAAACACAGAGCCAGGAAACTGTCCATGATATTGGTTTGTAACATACGAGAAAGATTAGTGACTGGTTTCAAGAAACAGAATGTAAAGATTTACCTGTTTGATCTCCGTAGAGCTGCTATGGGTCTCATTATTAATTTCTTCACAGAGCTTTGCCGTTAAGTTTTGGACATACTCTTTCTCTTCCGCCCTAAATGGACATACTCTTTCCCACTTATCTCGATAATTGACATAAAGGACACCTCCATGTTTTTCAGTCGTGCGGAACTTTACACTTTCTGTAAAAGCAAAGAAACTGTGTTTAAAGAAGGAAACAAGCTCATCCACGTCTGGCAAATATGATGTTAGAGATGGTCTGCTTGCGTTCATAATGTGTTTAAAAAATGAACAAAAATAACTTGTACATTTTTAAAATTTCTGAGATGACTTTTCTAATGAACAAGCCAAATGGTCATTGTTACAGAAACTGGAATAAGTTCCTTAACGATGGCATAAACAACTTGAAAATGTCATTTTTATTTTAAAAAAGAAAACAACTTTCCTTTTGTAAAAAGAAAGAAAGAAAAATTACTCAAAGATAATGAATTAAAATACTACCATAATTAAGAGAGGACATTCATGTATGTACTGTATATAGGGATGAGTTTATGGAAAGAGAGGTGTATGGACTCACACTTACCACTACAAGTAATGAACACCACATTTGTGTCACACTTTCCTTTAGTCCTCCTGCACTTGCCAATGATGGAATGGTACTTTTCACAGCTGACATGGTAAATGTTACCTGAACCCTTTGATGGAGCTTTGGATTCAATGAAGACAGCATTGCCACAAAGCTTTTCTTGGCAAACTTTGTGTGCATAGGATAGATCCCAGTTACTAGCACACACTGGAACGCCATCTATCCTCACTTCCCCATGACAGCCCTGTGAAAGGCTGACACTGGGCTCCTCTGGGAAGGAAAGCAATAAACACTGCAGTCAAGTATTGATAAAGACATAAATACTGAGGTAGAAGTGATCAGTTAATCTTCTCTGCACTGCAAAGTCAAAATATGAAGCACAAGTCCATAATCAAATAGTTCATTTAACACTTTTAGCTTTGGTTTGTTACTTTATCCAGTGTATCTGGAATAATTCTCCTTCACACTCCGAGTGTCTTGTTTCACTCTTCAGTGTTTCCAGTGCAAATGTAAAAAGTCTGTGATCATTTAAGATCAGTCCTGCTGATATAAATCTTACTTTTGCATTCAATAAAGACGGGCTCCTTCCTTGAGGGCGTGGTTTTATTTTCACATTCCCAAATGCTTCCTGGATTTTCACCACAGCTGAAGCTTTTGTTCCAAAAAGAATATATTTCAATTGTTTGGGGGTGGATTTCATTTGTTGATTGGTATCCACCACAGTCCATATCCTGGCAAAGCTTTTCCTTCTCAGTTTCATTGAAGTTTTCTCTGGAAACAGCACTGAGTCCCTGTCTCCAGTGAACCAACACTGTTCCACTACAGGCCTTTTTGTCAGGTACCATCGTCCTCCATTCTGAGACAGACAAGAGAAATAAAAAGTTCACAAAACATGATGTAACCAACAGGATCTGAATGATATAAATAACACACTCTGCACACAGAAATGACATTATAATCCTGCATCAACTTAAAGTTTTACACTTTTGAAGTTTAGCTACCCTTCTGACTGCTGTGTAAATAAAATGATTTTATAGAGTGATAACAAAGAGATGACAACTGATGACAGCGATATTTCTATAACCATCAGACTGCACAGGCCAGCTGTTTCCAGCTGATTCCAGACATTAAGTGAGTCAGACTGTGTGGCAGAGCCATACTGGTGACATGGACAACAAGCAGAAAAGAAAAGAGTAAAACTGAGTAGAACAAATATCATTAATGGAGGTGAGGATGTTAACATTCTAACCTTTATTGCACTAAAAGTAACCTTTGAAGGCGAGCATGTCAAAGTTTGAACGCAGCATTATTTTTATCTCAATATTTTTCTGAAATACAAACTAGTCTCAGTTTGTTTCAATTTCAATTCAGTTTCAAAGCCTTTATTTTAAAATTAGGCTGAAGGAGCAAAGAATAATTCAGAAACTGCTGACACAAAGATCATTATACACACCAGAGCATCGGAGGCCACTGTGTTTGCAGGCAGCTGTAGAAGCAGTAATACTGCTGCATGCAGATAATGGACTGTTAGCATTTGCAATGCAGTTTAGGTTTGAAATGGCTAATTTCTCTGCTGGTGCAGGTCCAAAGTAGGGAAGAGTCTCCACAGCATCACCACATTTAAGCTCCTGACAGATGGTGTTTCCATTGTTAGTGTCTTTGAGAGCATCCTCGCACACAGGGATCCACTTCCCCTCATACTCCACCTCTACGTTTCCAAAGCATTTGTAACTGGGAATGCTAAATCTGGGCTTGACACTACCTGAAACAAATTAGTAATGTTGTCACTTTATTTTTAATTATCCATCATAGTCGTAGTGAAAAGATGAAAAGGTAACTTCAGAAAAATTCAAATTTGCTTCTTTAACACAAAAAGGATTTGAAGGAATATTTAAAAACAGATTCATGTTAAAGCAAAAATCAGTCTCTTTTAGTTTTTTAAATTCTGGTATCCTGTAACTTAGTGACAAAAATTCAACAATCCAATAAACTGCAACAATAAAACTGGCACTTTTTTCCAAAGGGTCCAAATTAGTTGAAAATGAAACATTCTGCCAAGGAAAGTCACAACATTTATTATATGTTTGCAATCTAAAAATAGTTTTTTAAAAAAAAAACAACAATTAATTACCTGAGCAAACAACATAGGCTGGTTTTTGTTTACAGGACTTATCATTGTCCTGGTTTTTGACAAAGATGCTCTGTGTCAGGTCAGTAGTCTGATTTGTCGGGTGTAAACTCTTAAAGAGGATATCACCATCTTTGGGACTGTTGTGGGCTTTTATGGGCGTCCCACAGTTCAGCTTTTCACACAGCTTCACAGACTTGTCTTCTGTCCAGGTGTCTGCACACATATCTCCTTCCTTCTCTTCTACACGAATCCTGACTTTTCCCCAGCAGCTGTTCGTCAACCTCATCTTAATATTTCCTGTTGTGAAATGAAAAAGTTAAATTTAAGAGGAAACTAGTATCAGCAGATATTTCACAACTTCTTAGACCAAGCTAGGTTTCAGAAAAAATAGAAAATAGTAGAAATTTGATTGAGAGAAAACAAGGAGGTGAATGTAAATCTATGGACATTAAAAGGTAAAGTCTGTTATAAGTAAATTGTCTCTTCTGTGACACAATAAATCAATTCCATAATGACCTTATTCTTAGTTTTATACTTTAACTCCTTCATATTTCACATTACCTGAACAGTTCACATAAGCAGTAGAATTATGGTGGTCAGGAGGCAGAGGTGTAGTTTGGTTACACTCAAAAAGAGACTTTTTTCTGGATGAGCAGCTAAAAGAGTTTTTCCAAACTTTATTAATCATATCAGCCTTAGAATTGAAAGAAAACTTGAGCGTTCCCACAATGCATCTGCTGACACACTGTGTCTGCAGACTCTTGGTTCCATGTCTCTTTAGACCCAGAGAGCCAGTAGATTTCTCTGCCATGCTCTATCCCCACGTGACCAGAACAGGTTCCACTTAAAAACACCACCTTGTGACCTGATGGACACAAAGAGAGAAACATGATATACAGTAAGTGGCTGTGCAGGTCGTCTACCTGTTGAAAGGTCAGTGGTTCACAAAGACATAGACACAAAAATAGGAAAGTGGTGCATAAATACATACTTGGTGAAAGAAGCTGAATGGAGATATACCACAGTCTGGGCTTATTCCAGCATAACTAAGTGATTATTCGGGATCACCTTATTGAGCACTAATTATAAGCTTTATCAAAAAGGAAGGTTTGAAGCCTAATCTTAAAAGTAGAGAAGGTGTCTGTTAGATATTTTAGTATTATGGGAGCATGTACTGGGTATTCTTTTGATGATATTATACAAAGGACCCTGTTTCTGCAATGCCCTTTGTTTGAACCTCATCTCCTCTTGCTGTGTCAACTGAAGATTTTATGGTGTGAAAGTAGATACTAAGGTTGGAAGGAAAACACCAACAAATCACTCTTTTACTTATCACTCCCTTGCAGAGGATGTTTATGTAAAGACCATCTGGATTGTGTCAGAACTCAGGATGTAGCAGATCTGTGTGCAATTGTAGAACAAAGGATTCTAACTGTCTAAGTGTTTAACGGACCTGTTAAAGGTATGTTGAGATACGATTGTAGAAGGCCCCTTTCGGAGCGGGGGGGACCTTCCTTATATGGTTCTAACTTGAAACTTGTTGACACACGAACCTTTCTGTCTATAAATACCGCTGCGCAAAGGAATACAACTTTGAGTTGATTTTGGGAAAGCAACCCGGACAGTCTCTGTGTCGTTTTGTTCTCCCAGCTGCTCCCGACGTCGTAACTAACCCGCTGACGGCATACCTGAGTGCTACTTGAGAATATATTGCTGAGTGTTACTTAAGAATAATTTTGAATCTTATAGGGTAAAGACGAAACTCTGCTTATAGACGCCCACGCCTCGGAGAAACCCGATCCACGGACCAGACCCGGGACGTAGTTTCTTTCAGTGTCTGTCTACCAAATCCAAACTGGGAGGTGATTCCACAGAAAACGAGCCTGAAATCTGAGTGCTCTGCCTTCTATTCCACTTTTAGGAACCACAAGCCTGTAGTCTGAGAGGGAAGTGCTCAACTGCCTTTAAGATGATTATTCAAGACCTTATATGTGAAGAGAAGGATTTAAATTTGATCTAGGGTTCCAATCAAGAGAAGCCAAGATACGACAAATCTACTCTCTCTTGTACTCTCGCTGCAGCATTCTGGATCAAGTAAAGATTTAACTGGAGGCCAACTTAATATTTATAAGATTAAAATATACTCAGTTTTATCTCTCTTTATAAGCAAAAAATGGGCATTGGCTTTAAGAATTTCTTTACGAAGCATGTGACTTTCCAAAAATAATTTTGTAAATTACATTTTTGAGTAAAAAGTCAAGGCAGCATGTTAAAGAAAAAATGGTAATATGGCATGATCAATGAAAGTTGTAGTGTCTTATTTCACTTTTCTGATCAAAAGAGATTAACAAAAATCCCTTTCTTAGTTTCCAAGTATTAAACTGTAGGTATAGAAGGACTCTTGAGCCTGAATGAGGTCAAGAATAAGCTGAGGGGAAAAAACACATTTTCTTTTCTTCTGCCTCACATCGATGAACGAAAATGGCTTTTTCCTGGTTCTAAGATTTTGTCGTATATTAGTAATTTAGTATTTCCCGTTTTGATCAAACTTCACCAATATAATCAGTGTTAAGCAATTAAAAAGCCAAAGATACAAAAATTCTTCCTTGAAGAAAGGAAACCGTTTTTCCGGCTGATGTCACTGAAGGGCAGAGAAATTATAACATTACACTCACCCTCACAGGTGATTCCAGCTGCTTCCTGATCCGAATTTTTTTTGTTTGAGTTTTCTGTTAAACACTCAGATATCTTTGATATCTTCTTATTTGTCGGACACGTTATTGACAGGAAGCCACCAGAACCCTGACTGAATTTTTCAGTTTTGCCTTTTTCCCCACATTGCAGTTGTTTGCAGACAGCTGCTGATTGAGCGTCTGTCCATTCTTTTACAGGAACTTTCTTCCACTGGCCCTCATGCTTTATCTCCAATCTTCCAGCACATCTTCCAGGACCATCTGCCAGGTTCACCTCCACACTGCCTGTACCACGACAATAAGAGATTTATCAGCCACGAAACACAAAAAGAATAAATACATTAAATCAAACTCTTACTGAACACATTTTGGGAAAATTTAATCAGAATTTAACAATGTCACAATTTCACTGAATGAAGTAACTCATTTTCTCTCTCGACAGAGAATTTATTGCAGGATTTAAAATCCCATTATAAAAGCAGACAAAGGCCATCAGCAGCCACTCTGTACATTTCCACTGCTGTATCTCACCTGAACACACCACATAAGGTTGGTTTGAACACTGGATGTTGCCATGCTGAGACTGACAGTGCCACAGTGAGGACTCGCTGCCTTTGCAGCTCACACGGTCCATTATCCCTCTGAATTTTGACGTTCGACTTTAGTATAAATCAGCTAGAACAAAAGCTATTTATGAGTTTATGTTATTTCATTGATAATCATTATTAATTAAGTATTAATGGTGCACGTTAGTACACTTATCACAATAAAGTCCATAGCACTGCTGTATGGACAGTTTCTGATACACTCAGTATCCATGTATCAGAACAACAGGTAACTTATGGTGAGTAAACTTGAACACTCACTTCCCCACATCCAAGCTCCTTGCAGACCAATTCAGCTTCCTTTTTAGTCCAGGTGGAGGCACACACAGGATTAACTGAACCATTCACTTCAATATTAACTGTACCATAGCACTTGCTGTCTTTACCAGAGTCCTTCAGAACTACTTTAACTTTATCTGGAAGAGAGAGAGAGAGAGAGAGAGAGAGAGAGAGAGAGAGAGAGAGAGAGAGAGAGAGAGCAGTTTCACAGTGTGAAGTGTTTGCTTGGAAGTTGTTTGTGTTGGAATATAGACGTGTTGAATTACCTGTGCATGTCACATTAAGGTTTTTGTTTGTGCTGTTGTTTGGGCTGAGAGAGTTACCGCAGTGCATTTGCTGGCACACATCAAAATCAAAGTTGTCCTGTTGAACAGGTACCCAGTTGTTATTTTCTTCTTTTTCCAGCTGCCCAGAACACACATTTGATGGATTTCCTTTGAGCTGCAATCTCGTATAACCTGTTCATAAAAACACTTTCACCATAGTGTGGTGTGGTCGTGTGTGTGTGCGTGTGTGGAGTGGTTGTTTGGGTAGGATTGAGTGTAGGTATGTGTGTGTGCTGCAAAACTTTATTGTGTGTGTGTGTGTGTGTGTGTGTTACCTTCACATATGACAGAGAAAGTTTGCATGATGCTGAATTGTCGTATTGCCATTCACACACTGCCACAGATGATCTGGGATCTGCGTTTTTAAAGCTGAACAATCGATCTTCATCTTTGATGAGTCCCTGAAATTATCACTAACCATACTCTCTGAGGGAGGAATTTCTCTGAGTCCACCACACCCGAGATTTTTACACAGAAGCCTGGCTTCTTTTTCACCTTTTTAAGAGAGGATATTTATGTGTTCTAAAACATCGCAAAACATAAAAAAAATGATAGAATATTAATCAATTGAGAGATTTGAATATTCAGCTGCCGAAAAACATCCAAACATAAAAAAAATATAGATTATTAAAATAAATTGAGAGAGCAATATTGAAAATATTTAAACAGCCCTGCCCTTTGAAATATATATATATATATATATATATATAATTAACAAAAAGAGAAGACATACCAATGTTGTTGTTACAAAAGTAACCCTGAGTTTTGCCATCAACAGAGTACTGGAGAGCTCCAGCACATTTGGGTCCATCCAGGCTTAATGTGATATTACCTTGAGGAGCACACTCAATTATCAGCCAAATATAAACACAGATTAAAAAAAAAAAAAACAACACAAAAAAACCCCACACAAGACAAACAAACAAACACCACAATTGATTTCCCTTAACAACTTTTAGCTAAGAGTCATTGTCACTGAGCCCACCAATAAGAAATAAATAAATAAATAAATAAATAAATAAATAAATAAATAAATAAATAAATAAATAAATAAATAACAAAAACAGAGAAAAATTTGAAAAACTTACTTGAACACTTAAGTTTTTTCACTGTGACCTTTGAGTAATCGCTGTAGTTCCAACCAGGATGTTTACATTTCCACAGAGCGCTCTCGTCTCCTTCACACTTCAGTTCATTGAGCCAGATCGGTCTGTTTTCAGAAGGCTTGGGAATATCTGTTACTGGGTTCTCCACAGGTTCCCCACAGTGAGTGCTCTTACAAACCACTTTTTCAGTGTTGTTGCTCCAGTGTGTATCCCCAACAAAGCCCCATATGTTGTTATGGTAGACTTCAAGGTAGCCTTCACATGGGTAGCCTCCTTTGTTTTTTAGAATCAGTTTGTCCTCAGCTAGGAACATACAAGGTTTATACAGCAAATTATTATTATTATTATTGTTATTATGATTTGTTTCATGGCTGACTTACTTTTGGGAACTGCAAAGGATAAAATGTTAAAATTTTGTAAAGAATTTGAGCTCCTGCCATAACAAAACATTTTGTTTTTGTTTTGTATGCTTTTATGTTTTACTTTATTATTTTAATATATCTAGCAAGATATTTCTAAACATTGTTTTTGTTCATTATTATTATTATTATTATTATTATTATTATTATTATTATTATTATTATTATTATTATTATTATTATTATTATTATTTTGAATCCACTAAGTCTTAATCCAAACAGGTCTGCTTATAAAATTTCTGGGAAGTCGGAATGAAGCCGTCATGGGGAAAGAGGCAGATAACACCCTGGACAGGTCACCAATCTGTTGTAGGGCTAACACATGGAGACACTCGTGTTTACACCCACAGCTGATTTAGATTTACCAATTAACCTACTGCACGGATGTCTTTGGACTGTGAGAGGAAGTCAGAGTACCCAGAGATAACCCATGCAGACACAAGCCGGCTGTGCCAGCTCCACGAAGAAAAGGCCCATCATTGATTCGAACCTAGCACTCTGTAACGTGACAATGCTCATCACTGGACCTCATGCTGCCCTTTAAGTAGTCATTTTTCTCTAAATAAAAAAATAGATCTCCACATACATTTGAAAAGTTAAAGCTTTTTGTTGACTGTGAATTTTTGAAATTCCGAATTTCCCGCAACACCTCATCTTTAAAAAAAAAAAAGCTATAGAAATATAACCATTTCACATAAGTTTTTGAATAGAGAGGGGGATTCCCATTGTAAAACATTGTTAGGATTTCAAAAATATTTTAAAGATTCCTTCCTGTAATGGTGACTGATAATGAAACAAGTCCTCTGCAAGGAACAAGTGGCTCTTTAATGATCGCAGCACATAAACCTACATAGTTGGATGTAGTAGGGTGTTACAAGCGCATTCATCAGCTCTCTCAGATGTTTTTCATCTATTTTCTCCACAGCACTTTTTCACAATACTACCCTCTAGTGGTGCAATTTGGTATATCACATTAGAGGACACAACACTTCCTACTTCGACACAAACTTACTTCAATATATTTACTTCAATATATTTTCAATATATTTTACTTTGGCTTTAAATTGAGTATTAAATCTCAAATCAGTTCAGATCCACACACACACACACACACACACACACACTGAGCTTTTTTTAAAACAGTATTTCAAAGATGTTAAATACTTCACAGACATCTTTAAGATACTTTCTTAAATCTAACAAATAACAATAATTAATCGTATTCAGAATGAAATAAATTAAATTAACTTGCCTGAGATCATCAGCCCAATGTGAGCAAGGTGGAGAAGCAGGAGGAGGAACCACATCATCACCACAGCTCATGACTTGAGAGTGAGACAGACAAATGATGTTCTCAGCTTTATATTGCCATGGCTTCGCCCACCAAAAATGGAAATGAGCAACATACGCGCCAAATTTAGACTGCCGAATATTGTCTTAATTTAAAAGAAAACTAACACACAAGTGCACTTATTTCTTATACAGCACCTTTTTATGCTTTTTCTTCGTTGAACTCAAACTCACTATGATGCTTTTACACACACTAGAGATTTTATAAAAATTATGAATTGATCAACTATTGATTCAATGATTAACAACTGACTGTTAATTAATTAATTCCAAAAATGTTGACGCAGGCTCATCTAGAAACAGAGTTCTAACTATTTACACATTACAGATTTATGACATAGACTACTGATTACAGTATAGACTTCACAATCATTATATAATATCTGCCTCAAACAGGGTCATATTGGGTATTCCACTTCAAATCAGCCAATTTTTTAAGATTTTCTACCCAACCATCTCCCGTTTTGGTCTAAATCTTGAAGATATTACAAGCATAACGAGTACTGTGAAATTTTATTGTTAAAAAATAAAAAAAAAGCTTGGAGTCTAGCACTCCTGCAAAAATCAGTATGTAAGCACATACTAATGAAAAAATTAATATTGCAAAAGACAGCGACAATTTCTGAATGAGGTATTTACAGACTGAAGACTGAAGCTAAATTCAGCAAATAATAATTGTTCCAATCAAAATAGAAGAAATTCAAGTCTATAATGGAATCCAAATAGAGCGAAATTCAGGAGTTTCTCAATGATACCTTAATTATAACTAAGACAACAATTACGTTAAACATGTGCATTTCCCCCCAAGATCTAAGCAGCTCTGATCCAAAGTGTGATGATCATTACTGTGAAATTTTTGCTTTATATTTTTTGCATTTTGAAAACTTTGGAAATATGTGAGCATAAATATCACAAAAACTATTTTTAAATGTACTACTCTATTACTATATTACTATTACTGTTTTAACTAGTCATTCTTACCATAAAACTGAATCAGGATAACATATGGTGACAATTTCTGAATAGTTCATTTTGAATGCAAAATAAAGCATGTTGTATTCTTTTTTTCAACAAGAAATTCTTCATCAGAAGTGACAAAAATCGTGCTGATTGCAAATATGACAAGTTGTATCACAAAATCAAAATACATGAGCAGACTGTCTGAAAACAATACAATTCTGGAGTTCTTAGATTATTCTAACTAAAATTTAAAAATAATAATTTTGTTAAACATCAGCAAAGCATTTCCGAACATTTTCTGTTAAACCCTCTCCAATTTACTTAAACAGTTTTTATTTTTTTAGGTCAGTCAACCGACTTTTAGGCCACTATGGTATTTATCGACTATGGTATTTATCACAGAAGGCCTCAAAATGGTAGGTAGGTAGAATGGTTCTATGTGTATTTGTTTAACAAATGTATTTTCTCAATCATAATTCGAGTGCCATCTTGAAATTCAGGATCTTGAATAGCCAAGAGATTTCTATTTTTTAAATATCAGTCCCAGAGAACACATCCTGACTCATGCTGACTGTAAGAAAGGACGATAGGAGATATTCATGCCCAAATAAAATCAACAGCAATCCATATATAAAATATATATTCACCCTTTGTACTATAACATCTTTATGCAAAAAAGATATACCAGAGCAGAAAATATTGAAATTCGAGTGGTCTTGAATGGAAAAATGTGTACATATTTAACAAAATAATTTTCTGGGTAATGATTATTGATATATTTTTGTTTTTGTGGCATATGTTGCCATAATTTGTCAATCTACTTTGAAAATTGAATGACAATGACATTTTTTAGTTTTTGCAAGAATTAAAATTGAAAATCTAAAATTCAGAAGTATGAATCAAAAATTTGGGGGAATATTTATGTTGATGTCATGTTTCGGCTGTGTGCAGGCAGGAGAAGGACCCAAACGCAAAACTCACCACACAGGAATTAAACTCATGAAGTTGCTTTATTGCAGACTGTCACAAAAAATATAACAAAACTAAACTTGGACATAGATAATTAACACACAGGGAAACACAGCCATGAGGGAGACTACGACACTGACTTAGGCTATGTCCACACTGCAGGTCTTAATGCTCAATTCCGATTTTTTGATCAAATCCAATTTTTTTGTCTGCTCGTTCACACTACAAATAAAATGCGACAGCAAACGCGCTCTAGTGTGAACCCTCAAAGCGGCCCGCATGCGCAAAAGAAGACATCACACACAACGCGCTCTGTTTAGACCCAGAGCAAACAATATTGTTTGACTGATGGCCCTTAATATAAAGACTTCGGACTTTACGTTTCCCAGTTTTTGCTTTAGGTTATTTTGTTATTTACATAATAATGTAAATTACCTAATAATGATCCTTATTGCTGTTTTAGAGGAGCGGTGCTTCAAAGGATAGTTGCAGATTCCTGTCAGAATCTGCAGAATATACAGTATAAATAAAATGTTCACATTTCTCCAACATTATCTTCCCAACAGTTTCACTGACATCTACGCTGGACGCCCAGGAAGCGTTCGCGATGTCTTATCGGGCGCTTCTCCGGAGCTGATAATTGCCGTCTGTCTTGTGTCAGTGACGTAAAAGACGGATTTAATGCGACATGACCGTTCAAACAGCAGTCGCTTTCTAAAACATCGGATATGTATCGGATTCAGTACCACATACGAAAGTGACCCAGATCGGATTTGAAAATATCAGATTTGTACCGTTTATAGTGTCATACCATGATCGGATATGGGTCGCATAGGGTTAAAAAAAATCGGATTTGATGCGCTTTCGCCTGCAGTGTGAACGTAGAGAAACACAGGGCTTAAATATACTGAGGGATAACGAGGGAATGAGACACAGAAGCAGATCACAGCTTGGAGTAATCAGGCTGGACGAGACAAGGGAAGCAAAACTAGAAACACTGACATGAGACACTGACTGAACTCTATACATGTAAACTTAACAGCAACTGGGGAGACAGAACATAGGAACCTGAAACGTGGTACAGAAAGGCACAGTAGGCACAACATAGAACACAGAGAAGCCATATTATAAAACCTAAGAAATAAACCTATGATAACCATAACTGAAACCTAGGGAAATAACAAACACAGTACAACAAAGGACTCAAAACATAAACCATAATATAAAAACACATGAACTCAAAAAGCTGAGTCAGAAAGACCCAGAACCGTGACAGATGAAATGTTGGGTCATAACATTTTTATGGAAATCAGGGACAGTTGAGCAGACGGCCCATGTTGATTTCAGACTAAATGACCATGATCCTTTCTGAATACAAGCAAAGACAGATTGCCAAGTTCTGATACTAAAATAATAAAATTAATAGGTAGAAAATATCAAAAAAATATTTTAAAGTTTTAATTTGAACAAATTACCATAAAAATTGTTGCTGTATCATCAGCAACAAAAAAATTTCTTGAATAAAATTCTACCAAATATCAACCTCTTGATCTTTTATATGTCTGAGAACATTATATACTAAAAAAACTAATACTGGAAGCAGCACATATAGCAATCATTAGCAGAGCAAACATCAGCTCATATCAGCAAAAAAAAAATAAATTCTTAGAATGGAAAGATTATTTAAGTGAGTAGACAGGAAAACAACAAACCAGGTATATTTTATCACACAGCATCTAGAAGTTGAAAAAAAAAAGCATCCTTTAAAATAGAGAGAATGGCATTTGCGTAAAAATTACAATGACATGAAGGGGAATTATAAAGGCTGTGCAATAAATGTAAATATGAATATTTTGCATATATAGCAAGTAAACATTCATTTGGAGTGAATGTTGCAGAGTGTAGAAAGATTATATACAAGATATAATATATAAAATATGCATAAAAACACAAGAGATTTTCTTTAAAAACACATCCAAGTGAATGGTAATGGATATCTACTAGTCACTCTAATGAAATTATCCATCTATTTTACAGTCAGATTTTACATGTGAATGTTGCCTGAACTGTGGTCACAGGTATAAAATGAGTATATGAGAGAAAATGAGTGTATGGCTCTGTGGCTTTGTGGCTGGAGACTTTTCAGAGCTGTGAGTAACTGGAAAAAAATATTCTCAAGTGCCCTTTGGTTAGCTGCGGAAATACATTTACGCCCAACCGCACATTAGGTGAAAGCAAAATAGGTCACTAAAAGACTTCCAAGAGATATCTCATTTTCTAAGAGATACACTCTGTTCAAGGGGTCTCAGCAGATTGAAAGAAAACACTTTTTTTCATCCTACATTGATGCACAATAATCAATTCACTTTTAAAGCAGTTCAGTTTGATTTTATTAATATAGTAAAGTAAGATTGTTTATATAACACAGACATAACAGTCACAATGCAATATCAATAGAGAACCATGTTAGAAAAGAATTAAAAATAACATAGATTAAAAAAAATGTCAGCACAAGGCCTGAATAAACAGAAACGTTTTTAACTGTTTTATAAAAGACTACGAGGAGCCACCTAAACAAAGCCGGGGAGATGAGGTGTTTCAAAGCCTTGGTGTTGCAGACTGAAAAGCTCTGTCACCTATAGTATTCAGTCTTAGATTTTGAGCTTGCGAGGGAAGACAGCAAGCAGCAGTGTTTGTACCAAGAAGTTCAGATAAGTAGTCACGAACTTGTCCGTTTAGTGCTCTGCATGCAAGCGTGAGAATCCAAAATCAACTGGAAGCCAATGTAAAGAAACTAAAATAGGGGTCATGTGAGTTGGAAGCTGTAATTGATGTGGCATCAGTAACCGTAATCATAGAACGAGGGCCGCTGTTCTGACGCTGTTAGTTCAACAATCACCTTTACTGCACCACATGCAGTTAGTCTAGTTTCCTTTTTTATGCTTGAATGATTTACAGGTCAGTGTTAACAAAGCAAATAATGAATGTCAAGGTTCACGCAAGTTACATATTATAACTCCTTCTAAATCAGTTTGTGTGTTTGTCTGGTTCACTAAGAGACACTAACATAAAGTGAATTAAATAAAATTGTAAAAATAAATTAACTAGTTTTAAAGTAACAAAATGTTTTTCAATTCCTTTTTTTATTGGAAATCTGTTTGATTTCTTCTTGATCTCACTTTGAAGCGTATGACTCACACAGTGGTGTCGTGACCACATTTATCAGTGGACCGATCAGAGTTAAGGCATAACTGACTCAACAATCAGCTCAAGTTAGGAGCAAGTTTAACAGAAATGAAGCCACAAACCTCTGGGTTGTATTTTTGAAACCAGATAGTCTATCTAAACAGGAAACTGTACTCGTACATATGCTTCTGCCTCAGAAATATTCTCAGGAAACATAAAAATATCCATTCCGAACTGGGTTTTAAAGTGTTTAAGGGGGAAAAAAGATGTTTTTGGAGCTTTCACTTGTTTTGAATATTTACTTAAACAACAGATTCATGAATTTCAGTGCTTTACATCTGTATCAAACTGAATGCAAAATTAAAGGGCATGCTAACCAGCAAACAAGACTGTCTGGATGCACAAACCAACCCTGTTGTCCTCCAACACACGCTGTAGAGACACACACTATTCAACAATGTATGAATATTTCATGCATAAAACACTGGCTTTCTTTCAACATTGTATTTATTACCACAAAATTAAAACAGTCTATCATGACTGGTATATCTCTATCTAAATCTTCTCTTCTCCGTTTATTTGCATAAAGCTGTCAGTAACTAATATAATGCTTGGCTTTACATATTTGAATATTAAGAAAAGATTAAGAAATCACATGAAATGACAATAGTCCTTAAAAAGTGCACTGATGTGTGCAAACCTTAATATAGTCACTTGAGGAAATACATAAGACCTCCATTATTTCAACACTTTATTTTCTATTAGATTTAAATTAAAATAAATAAAATTGCAACTATTTACAAATAAACTTACGCACCAAAACATAATCATCTTTTGAAAATAAATTTTCCATTTCACTAGCTGCATCAGGGCTGATTACTGCCGGACCTAATTACTGTAGGCTAAGTCGACCCCTGAGCTTAAATAAATTACATTAAATTCAATTTAAAAAAACATTTTTGCAGTTGTCTATTTAAATTCCAAACTTAAATTTGATTGAGATACTTTGGCCTGATCTTAAACAGGTTTTCCATACTGAAGCCATGACTGAATAATTCTGCAAACAAGAATGGAGAAAAATCCTTCGCAGTGATGTGACAGACTCGTCCCAGTTATCATCCAGGGAAGAAAATCCCAGATGAACAGAATCAACGTTTCGGGATTTTTGCTGACAAGTGTGGAACAGCCAGTTATTAGTGTTAGAGGTCAATTCCTTTTTCACAGCGGGTAGGGTAGGTTTGTATAAAAAAAATATTTATCCTTAAGAAATTAAATCTTTTCAAAACTGAATTTTTAAAATGTAAATAACAGATTAACATGCCCTGTAGCCAAGACAGCAAACAACGGAGTAATATAAAAAAAAACACCCAGCACGCCCCTGCGGGCGGTTTATCCTTCAAGCTCGGGTCCTCTACCAGAGGCCTGGGAGCTTGAGGGTCCTGCGCAGTATCTTAGCTGTTCCCAGGACTGCGCTCTTCTGGACAGAGATCTCCGATGTTATTCCCGGGATCTGCTGGAGCCACTCGCCTAGCTTGGGAGTCACCGCACCTAGTGCTCCGATTACCACGGGGACCACCGTTACCTTCACCCTCCACATCCTCTCGAGCTCTTCTCTGAGCCCTATATATATATATATATATATATATATATATATATATATATATATATATATATATATATATATATATATATTCTATTTAATTAAATTTATTTATTTAATAATGTTCACACGTGCGATGTGAGCTGATTGAGTTAACCCTTGTATGGTGTTCGGGTCTGTGAGACCCGTGTTCAGTTTTTTTCAAAAGAAAAATTAAACAATTAATTATTTTTTCACGTGTAAATGTGTTGTGTCTTTCCACTAACTCCACTTGATTATAACTGATTTATTTATAACATTTTATATAAAAGAAAAATGAGAAGCACATTAATTCATGAATGTGATCTAACAAAGGTAAAGGGAAAAAATTAACCATGTTTGCTGTTCATATGTCTTGTAATTGGGATGAAGTAAACATCTGTTGAGTAATTTAACATAAAATTGTTTGATAGTGTTAATTTGGAAAGCCAAAACTCTAGCGGGTCCACCAGACCCATGAACACTGGCTGAGTAACAAAAATACGAACACCACACAAGGGTTAAACACCACTGCACCTCTGACAGTCTTTAGCCATAAAAAGAAAAAACAATGTTAATATCTTAGCAGACAGCAGATGCCAAAACCAAAATTAAAATATCTTATGTATTTAAGTAAATTCAAATACACAGCTCACATTCATCAACAAATGTAATGTTTTTTTAAGAGATAAAGTTTGCAACAGGTATCTCTTGTAAATGAGACCCTGAGTCTCAGTGGGACTAACTGTGTTACGCCCCTCTACAGCCCCTAATCTCTTCAGTGTGTTCAGATATTGCTAATTGCCACACCTAGTCAGGTGTAGATAAAAGCATACCTGAGGCAGGCTTTCAGGGAGGCTCACTAGTCTTTGGCGTTGCTGCTGGCCCTTCAACATTTCCATGTCTACCTAGGGTCCAGTTCGTTACCTATTGAGGTGTTTACTGATCATAACCCTCTTGTACTCTTGGCACACATGTTCAATCACAACTAGTACGTTACGTGCTGGGCCCTCATGCTGCAGGAATACAGTTTAGACATAAAAGACAAGAAAGGGTCTGAAAATGTACTGGCCGATGGGTTAGTTTGACTACTATGCCTTGTATGAGAAATGCGTTTACTATGTTGTTTGTTTTGCCTCTGTATTTATATTATTTTGTTAGCAAAAATGTTCTAATGCCACTGAATATAAATATGCTGCATTAACAGGATGAGCCAGGATGAGTTATTGATAATAACTAATGGTTAAACACAGAGTGGTCTATAAACACATACCTCTACTGCAGCGTAACTAAAAGAGGATTAAGGGTCACCTGATCCAACCTTAACTGTAAGATTTACCAAAACATTGTTTGTATTGATAAATGAGTTAATCTGGCTGGGTTGGTTGTGAGTTTACACCGGATGAAAACGTCGGTTTTTGGCGCTCAAATCATCTTAACATGCTTTGCATTCAAACAAATGCATGTGAAAACATTTACTCACAACCCACATCCAACCCAAAGACAAACCACAAAGACCCCCACCCACCTACGCTTGCATGCAGACAGAGTAACCAATGAGAACCTTGAGAAATGTTTTTAGTTTACATTTGCATGTGCATGCAGATGTGGCAGATCTCAGGTCACGTAAGTAGTTTGTTCCACAAGATAAGAAAAAAAAACATGATCAATTCTGAGATTGCCTTTGGTGATTTGAGAGACTTGAATCTATGTGCAGGCCTAAAATTTTCTGTAACACAAACTCGTAACTACTTTTCTCTGTATTCACAAAACATCACATTAGAACAAGAAAAAAAAGCACTGTCAAAGAATATCTATATTCATGAAATATTACAGTCCTGACGGGAAACATCTGCACCTGGTTTGGGAACAGCACCAAGCAGTACAAACAAGATCTGCAAAGAGTGGTGCGCTCGGCCGAACACATCATTCAATCAGAGCTTCCTGACCTGCTGTCCATTTACACTAAGGACAAGACTAACGCCAGGGAGATTATGATGGACCTCTCCCATCCCAACAATGGACTTTTCTCACTGTTGAGGTCTGGGAAGCGCTTTCACTCACTTAAACCCAAAATAGAGAGAATGAGGAGAAGCTTCTTCCCCCAGGGCCCTAAACCAGGTGTAGGACTGAACTCGCCCACACACATCACATCACTGTAGGACTGGACGCTTTCACACGCATCTCCACACGCACTCTAGTTTTTCCTTTTGCACACTTCTTATGATTTATAATTAATTTTTATTAATAATTTCTTATGCAAACTGTTATTTGCACATCTTACTGTAAATTTCTGAGTTAAATCTGTAAATATTACTGTCAGTTCTGGTCGGGCATTGCACAGCAATAAGCATTTCACCTCATGTTATTCTGTGTTTGGTTGTGTGTGTGACACATTTATTGAAGAAGCTTCTCGGATGAGAGGTGAAACGTCTTCAAGCAACTTAAAGAAGTCCAGACGCTTTTCTTTGCAAGCTCCTTTGACTACGATGACCTGGATGACTGAGAACCTTCACAGACACACTCTAGCATCTTTTCACATTTATTTAAGATTTCACAAAACAAGTATTTAAGATTCATTTTTTTTTTTAAATAAATAACTTTCATCATCAAAAATACATAAGGATATAACAAATACAAAAATAAATGACACATACAAATAATATAATTGTTACAGAAGAAGAACGTTATGGAAGTAAAAAATGAATTTCGGGTAACATGAAGCATTTTTTTTGTAGGCTCTATTTTTAAACTGACCTCACTCTGGCCAGAAAAATGAAGAAACACATTTTAGATAATTACTGAAAAAGAAAAACAGTCAAAGTTTATCATTCCACATTTGGCTTTGATCAACTATCTCCAGCCTCTCAGCAATTGCAGTAATGCAGTATTTTCTCGTGTTTTATTTAGTCATAATCTTATATATATTTATTTATCAACCAATTTAACTAGCCAAATTGTGTATAAACAATCATGTTGTTAGGTAACTTGGCAGTGTCTTTATTATGGGTTCAAATTCATGTACGGTTAAAATCATGTCCCCTTTGAGACGATGGGGTTTTAAATTAGTTACAGGATGATTAAAATGACAAGGGGTCAAAATGAGCCTGGTGAAGTATGTGACTGGCATGGTCAAAGATTTTAAAAATGGTGGTACCGTAGCAGCAGGAGACAGAGAAAATAAATGTATTTTTACATGTAAGTACATGACTATATAGTGGAATAACAATTAAAAGCTTAAAACCCTTTGATTGTTATGTTTTTAGCATTTGCATGGAAGTTTTACAGGACGTATATACACAGCTATTTGTGATTTTCTGAAATTAAGCTCTTTTTGGGGGGTGGGTGGGTGGGGGGGCTTCATATAAAGTAAGAATTTAAACATCGTGTTTTAGGTTCCAACAGCTCATTTCATCCAAATGACAGATGAAAATTTCCTTTTCACCAAAGATTCTGCCACTGTGGTTCTGAAGTATGAGAGTAAATAATCTGTCAGTTTAAACTACACTCATAAGCATCTTGTGCACACGAGTACAGTTTTATTAACCCTCATCCTATACAGAACGTTTGATATCATTGCAGCCAGGATATATTGTTCCAGACAGTATTCTTCCTCTTTTTAGTTCTATGAACCAATGATCTTTAAAAAGAAGTTTATGTTTATTTTTAGTCTTTTTGTCAGCTGCCTTTTTGATTTCCTTTGTCTTCAGGATTGAAAGGATCTAGTTCAGGAGAGGGAGTCAGTGAGAAGCCCACTGCAGCTGACCTGGTTTGTCCTTATGAATGAGGTGCTGGGAGAGAGCTCTTCAACTAGGCCTCCTGTCCTAATTGTTTCTATCCCCGAGGACACTGCAGGGCCAAAAGGTCAGCCGGTTCTCCTTTTGTCTTTTGCCTGGCTACAAATATCATAGCTGAGCCAGTTTTTTTTTATATTTTTAATCTTTCTATACAACAGAACACTTTAGCAGGGATGTGGAGGTGCACCTTCGTACTCCCCCTATGGAAAGGTGATGGTTCTTCCATGACTAATAACTACTGGCCAATTTCCAAACTTTGTGTCGTACCTAAGATTCTTGAAAGGCTGGTAAATAATCAACTTAAAAATTATCTGGATTAAAATAGTATTTTATCTCCTTTCCAATCTGGTTTTAGAAAACTGCACAGTACTGTAACTGCCTCCCTAAAAGTTCTCAGTGAAGCCCTGGACGCAAAGATCTACTCTGCAGCTCTTTTTATATGATCCATCAAAAGCGTTTGACACTGTTGACCATGGCACTTTATGCCAACGATTACTGGAAATAGGCCTTTCAAACCAGGCAGTTGGCTGTTTCTCGAATTATCTGTCAGGTTTCTGAAAGTGTGCTTATTTACAGTAAATCAAGATAAACGGTGCAAATTAATCACAGTGAGTGATCTCTCCTTGTGATGATTCCCAGCTCCCGTGCAATGACTTCTCACCATGGTCCGTGGTGACAAAACAACTTCCAGCTGTGTCTATGTAAAATGGTGCGCAGCTCCTTCCACATGTTTCTGTAATTCACCTGGAAACAATAAGACACTGCAGTAAGTACTCTTATCACAACGATTTTCACCTGGTGAGCTGGAGTACTGACTGTGTACAACAACGATCCAGCATCGTCTGTAGCTCAGCTACTCTGTTTGATAGTGATCCCTTGCCAAGGCTAAACAGCATCAGGGGAGTGTGATTACTACACGGGTGTGGCTGGCTCCAAGGCAAGAAAACTATCCAGGCCTAGTGTTGCACCAAAACGTGAACATCGCCATACACACACAAACGTGCACAGAGGAAAGTAGACAACACAAATCCAAATACATGGCAGCTCGACTGGCAAGGACTGGCGGACCACGACATTATCTTTCGTACTGTAAGCAGTGCGTACAGCTCAGTGGTCTCTCTTCCAGTTTTTAAATGTCTCTAATGGAGTGCCACAGGGTTCTCTCCTGGGGCCTACTTTATTTACTATTTATGTCAATGGGGGAAATCAAGATGCATCTGTCCATTTTTATGCAGATGATACAATTATTTATTTTCGAGTTGGTTTTTAAACAAGAGCAAGCTTTTGACAGTATTCAGTCTCAATCTCAGTCAGCTTAGACTGGTTTTAAATGCAGAAAAATACAAACTCATGATGTTCTCAAAAGAAAAAGGGTGCCAGCAGTATTTCCTTCTCTAGTATCTGCTCCAGGCATTTCTATTGAAACTGTAGCCTCCTACAAATACCTGTAATTGTAATTGATGTCAATCTTTTCTTAAAGCCACAGATTGACTATCTGTGAAAGAAACTGAGGCTGAAGTTCGGGTTCATTTTCAGAAACAGATCATGTTTCTCACCACAAGTAAAAAAAAATTGTTTTACCCCTCCAGAATTACAGTGACATAATTTACATGAATACCTCTGCTCACTCTCTTTATCTGTTGGATTCTGTCATGGAGCATTAATATTTATAACTGGCTGTAGACCTTTAACACACTACTGTACTGTATATGCTCTGGTTGACTGGGCCTCTGGGCAGGATGTTTCATTGGTATCACTTTATCTATAAATCTATTTCTGGTTTACCTCCCTCATATTTATCAGAGTACATGTTACGCAAACATTTCTGTCATAGATTGCAGCCTCAGGACATCATTACATTCAGAGCTTGAGAAGAAGCCATTCTCCTTTTCTGTCCCATCTTCATGAAATACATTGCAGAAGGATTTGAAGCTCGCTCAAATGATTTCACTTGCAGATTTCAAAAGACGTACAAATGATTTTGTGAAATCATCACTGGGAACTTGTTTTTGTCTGTGTACACTAGACAAATCGAGCTATTTTATTGTATCTGTTATTTTTGTAGTTTTAATATGTTTGTCTGGAAAAAATCTCTTTTAAAGAAGACACTGAGCTGCAATGGGACTGCTTGTATAAATAAAGGTTTAAAAAAACAGCAGGGAAAGCATGGATAGATTATTTTCAACACAGATTAAGCTGTGTTCTTATAAATTAATTTAAAATTAAATTAAATTAAAAGTTCAAGAAGTTATTTTAACTTCTAACTGATGTTTAATGAATAAACAGATTTACACAAATGGTATTTTGCATCAGTGGTTTATTTACAGTATTTGTTTATTGCTTATTATTTGCTAAGTAATCTGTTAGCTAACTAGAAACATTTTTAATGGCTGATTGCTGAATGAGAAGGAAATGGAATTCTAACAAAAAAAATCCCAAGAATAAAAAGCTTTGAATTTTAATAGAATAGCAAACCTGATATTTGCCTGAACAGGAAGTCTGGTTTTGGTAAGCACAGGGTGGTCACACAGGGTGGGCTGTAGAGAGTGTTTGGGATGCTTCTTTCCATTGTCCACTGCCACATCACATAGATGGATTCAGAGAAGTGCAAAGATAAAAGATGGTGGATACAAAATATTACTACTATAATATAAAACAAGGAACTCTTCAACAAAAACAACAAAAAAAGGTTAACAAAGCACTGTGAAAAAACAGGAATCCTAGATTTATATATTTTTTGCTTACCTGCCTGTTAATAGTAGTGACGGTGTGGTGGTTGGTCATTACTTACATCAGATACCAAGGTGTGGTGCATCTGTTTGCAGGAAGATGGCCTCGAACCTGGTCTTCATCATTCCAAAAGCATGCTGGATTCTAGAGTGTGTCCTGGAACGATGGCTGTTGAAGTGATGGGCTCCACTGCAGAGGTGTGGCCTGGTTAAGTTGAAGGTGGAGAACAACATAAACATTTTTTATTATTATGGTATGAGGTGGGTTATTTTAAAAAATCAACACATTTGAGACCTAAGAGGGTTAACCCCCCACCCCCAAAAAATACAAATAAATAAAAATTAAAAAGAAACAGAAAAATTAACAGAAAACAAGCAAACTTTCAGGCTACATTTTTACAATTTTTTCCACTTCTCTGTACTTTGCAATTTCAGGGTTGCCAGTCGACAGAGGCTATTCTGATGTAAGGGCAGTGATTGGTGGTGACAGAGCTGAAGGCTAGACAGCCTGCTGCTGTGGGTCATTTCATTTCATTTTTTATTTTGTTTCACACATGATACAGCAGTAGTTCATTTCCTACACACAACCTTCCTTTCAATTAAAGTAACACTGTTTCCATGCATGAAAATGAGCAGGAAGAAGAATAAATTTATAGCTTGAGAGTATGCAGGCAGTTCCGGAATGATTGAGTAAATTGATACCACTGACTGGCCCCCACGCGCAGCTGACCAAAATCCAATTGAACTCTTAATGAAACTTGAATTAAAAAGGAAATGGGTATATTTTTAGTTTGTTACAGTGTCAGAAACGAGATGACTCTATGTTAGGGGGGTCCTATTCCTCTGTGGGGCAACCTGCATATGGCCAATAAAGCATTCATTCAATTCAATTCAATTCAACCTCCTATGAACTCTTTCATGGCATGCATTTTTAATTTCGCTTTGATATTTGGGCTGATTGGGACCCGATGAATGTAAAAACTAAGACACTTTACCAGATTCTTGTTTCTAAGAAAAATGAGAGCCATATATGAGGATATTTGTTTTAACATTTGATAAAACAGAAACAGTACAATGTCCTCGTAAGTGGATAGCAGGCCCTTGTAGAGTAAAATATTGTATTTTGGTCTACACCAGCGGTCCGCAACCCCCGGGCCTCGGAGTCGTTTGGTACCGGCCGTGAGAGTTGAGGCTCAGGTGTGAAATGTATAGTTTTCAGGGTTTTTATCGGTTTTCAGCGTTATTCTGTTATCGTTTATATCGTTTACTCGGTTTTTCTTGGTCTTTTCACGTGTGTTATGAATAAATTTTCTTTTTTTCGATACCAGTACTAGTTTAATTTTGTTGTATTTATCCGCGACACCTTAAAGGCCGGTCCATGAAAATATTGTCGGGCATAAACCGGTCCGTGGCCCAAAAAAGGTTGGGGACCGCTGGTCTAGACAACCAAAAATGTGATGTACACATATGTGGACAGCAGGTCCTACACTCAAAAAAATCTGTTGTTGGATGAACACAATTTAATCATGGCACCCTTTTTGCACACAATTTAACCAAGTACAATAAACCATTTTCGATCATGTCAAACCAACACATTTAACATTTGGTGGTTTAATGTAATCAGATTACGTTGGATCAACATAGTATACTTATATTGATTTGAAGTGATTTATTTAAGTATGTAGAGTGAAATTTGTTTTAATTCATTCTACACAAGTTAAAAAGTTTAGGGAAACACAATTAAATCTTGTTGTTTCAACAACTACTTTGTTAATCAAGGCAATTACTGCAAGTCTTGCTTAATAAACCAATATGTGGGTTGATGATTTCACTCATTTCAATCAAATTATTTCAATTAGATTTGTTTACATTTGTTACACATTTAGAAACCCACTACTTTACAAAAAAGTCACAACCAGATTATGATAACATTAACTTTATTAACTGGATTTAGTGGACAATATAAAAGCTTACCATTTTTGTACACCTGCAAGCATTATGCCACTTCAAAAGGTAAAACGTTAGAATACTTATTTACATAGGCAATATGTTGGAACCAAAGCTTCCACAACTAAAAACAGATGCAAAATTTGCTCAATATAT